TTATCAGGAAATTCAATCTTCCTATGTTCACGAGAGACGTCAAGTTGATTTGATTGAGCACTTATGAGAGATGAAAGGCAATCACAGTGGATGAAGTCAAGTTTAATGCTTTGTTTTTAATTATGCTTTGTTTTGTGTGTAGTTTGTAATGAATTAAGGTTTGTTTTTAATTATGCGATGTTTTGATGTATGAAATGTTTTTAATAAATAGCTATATTATTTAATGCTTTCTTTATTGAATAAAAGTGAAACAATACAACAAATTAATACATATGGCAACTCTTTCAATACAACCTAACGGTTTTGATCATTTAACCAATCCGTGTTGCTAGGTCCATCGTCATGGAAAAGCTTTCTTCTCATAACATCCCTTCGTTTGAGCTTCCAATAGGACTTTGTTTCAGGAGACATATGGCCTGTATTTATGGCCATGATTTTCATCTCCCTATCCTCCATGTCTTGCTCTTATGCCTGCTGCCTTTGAATTGCAAATGCTTCATGTCGTGCCTTGTCCGCTTCTTCTCTTTTCAAGTCTCTCTCAATTCTCAATGTGCCGTTCCTAGCAATTTGCTCCAAAAATTGTGCACATTCATTCGAAGTGCTCCCTCTCTTGGCCTTTGCCGCCTTTCTCCCAATAGGTCTCGGCTCACGTTCGATTAGTGAGTCTTGATCCATTGGGGAGTCCAATGGCGAATCGATTGCCGGTGAATCGTGGAGCGGCATCTCAGTCAACACAACCGTCGGACTAGTAGAAATAATTTTGAATCTTTGACAATTCTTCACAACTTCCCAACATTGGTGATTTATGAAACTTTTTTTGCCTTAGCTCATGGCACCGAACTACATTTGTGCTTGCATAATCTATTAACAAAAAATAATTGGAAATGCAAGAAAAAAAAATTGAATATGCAAGAACATATAAACAAATTGGAAATGCAAGAAATTTTTTTTTGAATATGCAAGAAAAAAAAAAGTTACATTAAATTGAATAAAACGGCATTTATAAATATTTTACCTCGTCGGCAAGATTTTGAACGCTTCGAATGTTGTCCCTCGCTTTTGCCAACACATCTCTCCATTTCCCTAACTCTTTATTCAAAAATTTCCACCTACTAGCCAAGGCCATTTCGGTCCGAGGCGAACTCGATCTTTCACAAAATTCTCCATGATTTTTTCTCCACATATGAGAGAACTTCATCTCATTGCCCATGATCGGGCAATGGCCAACTTTCACCCAACACTCACACAACACAATATCTTCTTGAGTTGTCCACGCGCCTCTAGCTTCGATGGAAGAGGCCATTTGTTTTTTGATACAAATGGAAAGTAGTAGAAAAATATGAGTGGAAAGTAAAAAATATTGGAAGGTGAAGAGTTTGTATGAAGATTTGGTGTGGAAAGTGAATAAAATTGTTAGGTATTTATAGGGGAAAAAATCTAGAATTTTTTGGTTTTTTTTTTTAAAAAACAAATCAAATTTTTTTGCAATTGTTTTAGCCAAAAAAATCACAGCCGTCGGATTTCTGGAAAAAAAATTCAATCAAAGCCTCCAGGAAGAGCCACGTGGCTTCTCCCCGTTAGTGGCTGTCAGCACTGGCATTAGCAGTTCCCATGGGCTTGCCTAGGCTGGTGGGTCCCATGCCTTGCCCAGGCTGGACTTCGTGCGCTAGAGTTGGATATGGGCCTCTGGCTGCCTTTTGCTTGGTTAGGGCCCCTGCACTTGAGGTGCCCTAAGAACAAGCCCAAAAAAGGTGTGTAGAGCTCCATTTAAATCTCCAATTTAATACAATTATTATAAATAAATAAAATTTAAAAAAATAATAAATAATAAATAAATAAAAAAAGGGTGTCCCCATAGGTTGTAGACATGCACAATTATGTATGTGATATGAAAAATAGTTTCACATATGTGAAAACATTCTTATTTTTATGATCTTCTGCAATGCTAACATGAAACAAAAGTTGGAGCGTCTTAGAACTTCTTGGCGTGAGTTTTTATTTTTTCTAAGGTATTAAAGGGAAAAAAGAATGGGAATCGGATACACCCCCCCCCCCCCTTTTTTTTTTCTGATTTTGAGGGGATGTGATTACGGACTTTGAGGTGGGGTCCACATATTTTTTTCATTCCTAATTGCAAGTAAACGTCAGGGAAGTCATAAACGAAAATCATTCCCTTTCCTCCCATATCCAATACTGATACATAAACGTGCCCAAAGTGTTAGGAGCGGTGTCATTCATTTCAGACAAGCAATTCTTCTTTATTTTTGTCCTCTGATTTTGGATTAACATTGACATAAACCCTCCAACAATTACGGACCACATGATGAACTTGTTATTTTGCATAATGCTAGTGACCACTAAAAACCCATTAATTTTCGAAGCTAACAAAATCCTTAATGACACACGCACGCACACACTCTCTCTCAAAAGAGCAAGACTGGATTGATTACATTAGTAGCTAATTATGTGATAAGCCTTTGACCAGTCAGTATATATGCTTAATCTATAAGGTTTCAACTTCCACTGTAATTATGTGATAAAGTCTTTTCATGATTACCAATAGTAGACTAGCAGTGGCAATCTGTAAGTGAAATTCGAACGCACTGAGAAGAGAGCAAAGAGGGAGCACAAAGAAACAAAGAAGATAGTAGAAAGTTGAGAGATGAGAGGTGAGAGTGAGCGAGAGCAAGAGCAAAGACGGAGAACGAGCGAGAAAGAGAGCGAGAGAAAGGTGTGATCTTGAATATTTGAAGCTATTAGAAGAAGAGATAAGGATTTAAGCGTTTCCTAAAGCTATTAGGAAATAGGGCTTTGAAATATTACCGTTGCAAGAGCCTCACCGCTTCAACGCGGTTTCAATTACTTTTACACTCGTCAAAACCAAATAAATAAATCAATCAATCAATCAATCAAATCGTATGTAAATTGACTAAACTATCCCTCACCAGAAGTTTAAGCAGAAAAGAAAAGGAAAAATTATGAGCAAAAAAAGAAACAAAAAAAAAAAACTTGTAATAAATTTGCAAATGAATTCTATTTTCATCCCCTGATTTTCATGAGTACCAATAGCAGTAGCAATAGCAGTGTGTAAGTGAAATTCGAACACACAGAGAAGGGAGCACAGAGAAACAGTGAACGCTCGTCTTCCAAATCAAAAGAAAAATGGGCTTGTTGGGATAGTTGGGTTGCTCAAGAGAGCAGAAAGCAGAGAGATGAGAGGTGAGAGCAAGGGCATGAGAGAGAGAAAGTTGTGATATTGAATATTTGAAGCTATTAGGAGAGAAGAGAAGCATTTAGGTGTTTCCTAAAGCTATTAGGAAATAGGGTTTTGAAATATGACTGTTGCAAGAGCCTCATGGCTTAAACGCGCTCACAGTTGCTTTTTCACGCATCAAAACCAAATTGTATTTAAATTGACCAAACTACCCCTCACCTATATTTTAAGCAAGAAAAAGAAAAATTATGAGCAAAAAAAGAAAGAGAAAAAGAACCTGTAATTAATTTGCAAATTAATTTTGCTGCTCATCCTCTGATTTTCATGACTACCAATAGCAGTAGCAGTGTGTAAGTGAAATTTGAACGCATAGAGAAGAGAGCAAAGAGGTAGCATAGAGAAACAGTGAACGTTCATCTTCCAAATCAAAAGAAAAATGGGCTCGTTGGGATAGTTGGGTTGCTCAAGAGAGCAGAAAGCAGAGAGATGAGAGGTGAGAGCAAGGGCATGAGAGAGAGAGAGTTGCGATATTGAATATTTGAAGCTATTAGGAGAGAAGAGAAGCATTTAGGCGTTTCCTATAGCTATTAGGAAATAGGGTTTTGAAATATGACCGTTGCAAGAGCCTCACGGCTTAAACGTGGTCGCAGTTTCATTTTCACGCATCGAAACCAAATTATATGTAAATTGACTAAACTACCCCTCACCCATATTTTAAGCAAGAAAAAGAAAAATTATGAACAAAAAAAGAAAGAGAAAAAGAACCTGTAATTAATTTGCAAATGAATTTTGTTTTCTTCCTCTAAGCAGCTAAGTGAGCTGAACGTGCTTGTCTCTTCCATGATTTTCATCCGTAGCAAATCGAAAAAGCTAGTGAAAACCCATTTCTCTCTCTTCACACAAATGGGTTTTGCACCTTTCTTTTAAACTTTGGGTTTTGTAGAGAGTAAGTAAATGGTCAACATAAACTGATGGGTCGGAATTATTTTCCATTATGTTCTTTTTCCTAATTGTTATTTATTGTTTTATTATAAATAAAAATAAAAATACATACGAGGAATTTAATTTGATGATCATATTAGGGACTAATCCTTCATTTTATAAAACTTGATTATACATTTCATTAGTATTCCATACTCTAATAACAAAATATAAAAAGATAGGACATAATACTATTTCTAACTTGTCAAAATTTCAGTATTCTATAATTTATCATTCTTCTGTCAATTTACGGTAATAAAATAGCCTAAATTTAACATTTCATTCATTCATTCATTATTTCTTGGTTTGTAAGTTTTACTTCAAAATTTTAAAATTTTTTATAGGATTTTCATCATAAAGGTTCTCAAAATTGTTACCTTTCGTCATTAAGGTTTTATTTTGACATGATTAGTCGTTAAGGTTGCTCTTTGTTCAAGTTGGCCCATGTCGAAAACTTCCGTCAATTTTTTTTTGTTACCCTAAAAAAAAATTTCAAATCTCTAATATGCAGCAAAACTTGTCAATTCGTTGTGAGTTAGAACTTTAAAGATTAAATTATCTTGTGCTAATTTTTAGTTGCCAATAGTTCATCGGACTCGAATAGTAAGCAGAACTCTTGAATGCACTGTGGTTCGATACGAAGTCAATGACAATGGGCTTTCAAGACCTCTATTCACAAAGACCGCCAGATTGGGCCGAAGATACAGGATCATGAGCATGTGGATGAAGTCCGATTTCCTATTGCAATTAGTGATCCTGTTATCAAATCGAATGTAGTAAGTTCAATACGAACACACCAAAAAATTTAAATGGGAGGTGGGATGTTGATCTACAAAAAAATGGGAGGTGGGATCAGCAGTTGGAAGGGTGTCCTTATAACTCCAAGTGAGTGTGACTTTTCAGGAAGCAGGAGGAAAGGAAAAAATTACTGCGATTCAGACACACAGCAATGGTGACGACAAGAAGACAGGCGGCCTCTGCAACTCCGGACCCAAAAACGCCCCAAAATGCTACGAATCCCAACCCAAATACCCGAAACCCTCGAACACCATTTTCCACCACGGCCATCATCTCCGCCTCCGTCAAATCTGTAAAGTCCCAACACACTCCTTTTGATGACATTTATACATATATGTGCTTTGTGCTTAATTTTCTTTCGGAAATTTTTTGGTAGGTCTTATTGCATGATTGGTGGCTGGTAAAGGCTGAAGGAAAGGGCTTGGCTGTTGGAGGTCTTTCTTCTAGAGAGTAATTTATTTCTTTCATACTTCACTTTATTATTTTAGATTTTGCTTTGAGAATTCTCTGGTTCTTTAGGAATCTTAAAGAGTTTAAGGAAACTGAACAAAACCCAGAAGTTAATTGGAACATTTTCCAGTTTTTAGTGTAAAGAGCTTAAAGAAAAAGCTCTTCAGTTTATGCACGGACGTTTATTCCATCTTCTGCTCTGGTGGGTAAGAGTAAATTTCTTTAGTAAAAGGGAAAGTGTCCTACTTTGCTCCCAAAACAGCTTGAATTGTTTTGAAAATTTGCCTTCTCCAGCAATTGATGGCTATATTTCTCTTTGTTTAATGAGCATATTTTTGGGTTTATGTCCTCTTGGTCTATGATTATTTGGAAGCATTGACAGGGATTTTATGAAATAAGTTTTGTGATGTGTGTCTCTGACCGGTTACCATTCCTTTTTCCTTTTTGTATTGTGAACTGGTGATAAGAAATATTAGTAATTGGAGACAGAAACTAGTATTTATTTGCCTTCTCCAGCAATTGATGGCTATATTTCTCTTTGTTTAATGAGCATATTTTTGGGTTTATGTCCTCTTGGTCTATGGATTATTTGGAAGCATTGACAGGGATTTTATGAAATAAGTTTTGTGATATGTGTCTCTGACCAGTTACCATTCCTTTTTCCTTTTTGTATTATGAACTGGTGATAAGAAATATTAGTAATTGGCGACAGAAACTAGTATTTCCAATTTCAAAACCAGCTCTAATTAAAGAGATTCTATCTTGCTGTTTGTGACCGTTGTTTATCACACAGAGAACGAAAGCTTACTTTCATTGATCAGCCATTGCTTTTTACTTGATTGACCTGTGACATCTCTAGCACTTTCTATAGAGTTTTGGCATTGGATTTGTGCATGAATATTGACTTAGTACATCTCTGTCACTCAAGTTACTGTGTACAATTTTCTGTTTTGAGATTATTGTCTGAAGATGTTAATAACATTTTCTTTTCTTTTTTTTCTTACGACAGTGGACTAGGAGTAAGAGTTTTTAGCTCAGCAGAAATTTCCAAGAGACACACGGCCACTGTTCTTGAGACAGCAGATGGGATCATGGTTACAGTTACTGGCTTCTTAGATAGGTCTCGCACGCATCAAAATGGCTTTCCCCCAGAGGTATGTAATTCCCTTTTGTGTGCTTACGTCTTACAGCTTGACTTAAGAAAACTGAGCCTAAACCCTAAATGCAAGGGGATTGACAAAGATAGAAAATGGCCTATTATAACTAGATACTGTCATTGATTAGAGGATTACTGTGTTCTAATTAATCGTCACTCCTATTTGATAAAAATAAATCATGAAAAGTTCATTACTCCTGTATGGAACTGCTAATCTGTCAGCTATACAATCACTTTCTGCTTGGATTTCCATTTAACTGGGAGGAGTACGCTGCTGTTGATTTGGGTGAAGATTCTAGTGACATAGGTGCTTCATTGAGGAAATCAGCTTCCCAAAAGTTCAACATGCCTTCAAGAAACAACGAAAGTAATTCCTTACCATTTTCTTTAGATGATCTCACAGCGACAAAGGGACGTGATATATTAATGTTAAGTTATGGAGACTCTGATTATCATTCACTAGTGAAGAACATTTTCAGTGATATACTGGGAACATCCAAGGACAAAGCTTTTGAGCATACCGGGTCATCAATCAATTTAAATGTGGAAAATAGTTGTCCGGTTGAAAATGTAGATTCTGGAACAACTAAAACTCCAAGAAAGCATAAGAAGGTTATTGTTCAAGATGGCAAAAACATGATCACAGAAACCAGTAGGGTAGGGGTTTCCACAAGAAGCATGACTAAAGGTGTTTCCACAAGGAGCATGACTATAAGGAAGATTTCCACAAGAAGCATCACCGGAAGAAAGTTGTAGCCCACCAGCGTTTCCGTCAGAGCCTACGGGAACTAAATCGGAGGGGCAAAAAACAGTAAGTGCTGAAAATTTGAGTCATGCTGCCACATCATCTGGTGAGGGTATAGGGGCTAAAGTCAGAATATGAAGTGCAAGGCTGAGGAATTTTGAAAATATCTGCAAGGCACATCTCTAAATCACCACTGATAACTTTTTGGAGTGGCTTCTTATTTTGACGGGTTTTGATCCTTGGAAGAATGCTACACTTGTTGAAATCATATGTACAAATCAAGTTCAAAAGCACTGTAGTATCCTTGGTTTCAGGGTATCAAGCAATATGCATATTTTCTTGCAATATCAACACTTATATAAGTCTCTGTCTCTGACCAGGAAAAAAATAGTTCATAATTCAATCCAATAAACTCTTCAAACTCTCTTTTAATATTTTTTTCCACCAATTGATTATGCGTACACAAAGCATTCATCAAATTCGAATTATTCTGAAATGAATTAAATTCTCATAATGAATACATGGGGCTCACATGCTCTGCATTGATATTCTGAACTGCAAATTGGATGGAATCTGAAAAATCTAACCACAAGTACTACATAGGCTATTTTCATATAGTTTAAATCCTTAATTTACTCGGAAAAAAGTCCGGAGATTGAATTAACAATCATGAAATAGGTGTGGGGGAAAACCATTGTTTCCTTAGTAAGAAATATTCAAAACCCTCGACCAGAATCAATGACAATCTTAATAGAGGAACATGCACCCAAGAGTATCCAAGTCATCAAGAAAAAAAGAATTTTACATTCAGCAACGGGAACAAAAGAAGCAAAACCAACACAGATAGAGCTCATATATCATTTTGTTCACTTCTTTTTTTTCTTTTTTCAGTAAAATATAAAAGCCCATTAACTGAGAGGTCATTTCCTACAGTCAATTTGGAAACTGAATTTAAAAAGAATTATGCTTCTCCATCTAGAAAGTATTTTACAAGAAATTACGGGTTCGCCTGCCCCCAGATTTGTGGCACTCTATTTCCTGGCTTACACAGATTTGTGGCACTCTATTTCTTGGCTTACACAGGCACCCGTCGGCCACGGTATCGGTCAAAGAACTGCAAATCAGAGAGAAATCAATCGATTACTTGCACTAAGAATAATCGTACAGATAAAGCTCATATTCAGGCAAGAATAAACATTATAGAGACTAGATCCTCCATTCTTTGAACTTGAGGTTGTGCAAGTAGGTGCCACCTGAACTTAGGACACATTATAAGGTGCTACCACCATGGCAGAGAGTAGACTGCACAGTACCAGGGAAAACTTAATTTGGACACAAAACTCTGGACTTCGCTTATCCTGACCAGACAGGAAGTTCAAGCATTTTGGACATACTGAGTCTTCGGTACACTCTCTATGAGAGAATGTCCACTATCATGAAAAACTTGCCTCTCTTGCAAGGTAATATAAACCAATCATGGAACTAAACCAAGTAATTGTTGAAAGTCATTCTCCAAGAGAACAGAGACATTTGAAACAAAATACAAGATGAATGTCCCCACCAAGGTAATATAACCTACCCTGATCATTATCTAACTAAACAAAACACAATTCAGACACAACTCAAGTTCAAATACTTTAAGGAACTTGACAAATAAATCATATTTTTTGCTATTACAAAGACAAAAGGTTCACATTTCAGATTTGTTTACTTTCTTTTTTTTATAATTAACTTGAAGAACTTGTCTTAATTTCACCCTTATAATACTGTATGTATTTTTATTTCACCAACTCAAATACCAAAAACATAGAAGAAATAACAACAATTTACACAAACTTGTTTTAAGAAAAAAAGAGTGAAAAATAATAGCTTTAACCTAAGAAAAAAAAAAGTTGCACCCAGAAGCTTCTAAGACATGCACACGAACTTGGAAAACTGTTCTTTTCTCATTTTGAATAGATAAATAATAAACCGTGGATATCAAAGTTCTTTTTTTTTTATTTTTTTTTAAACGTGCCTCAATTTTTTTCAATTATTTTCACTAATGCCCTAAACAGTCAGGATTACCCAAATCTTTGCACAAAAGTTTTAGAATTACTTTGGAAAAGATTACTATAAATTGGATTTATTTGTCTGTTGTGAGAAATAATTAGAATGTATTTGGATATCCAAAGAAAAGGGGTCCCCATACTTCAATCAAAAACTAATTCCAGATACACATGAAACCCAACTATATACAGCACAATCCCAAATTACCCACTCACATTCCTAGAAAGGGATTCTGGTTAACAAAAACAGAGTTAAAATCATGATTACCAAAAATATATCATATCTTGTCCCACAGTCTACCCCAGTCTATCTATGTATGGATGTGTGTGTGTGTGTGTGTGTGTTTATGTGCAAACAGAGCTCAAATGGCATTACCTATCAGTTAGTTTACATTATCTCTTATTGAACAATGGCTCCTAATTCCTATATGTTTTTCATCATGCTTAACAATAATCAACTAACTTTGATGGACATAAAAATGGCTAGACTGACTCCCATGCAAAATCCAAACATAAATCATGTTAAGAAAATAAACAAGAAACCAGGACTTCCCAATTGTCTGAAATGGTATTCATGATTGTGCAAGTCAAGAAGATACTGCATAAAAACTAATCCACTATTATGAAAAATTAATACCGAAATAAACATACCGATCTAATATATGGTTGTTGAAATAGCCAACCAAGAACCGGAATCTTCTGAAGAAAAACTGCCAGTGTTGGCCAGAAGCCGCTGCACAACATACTCCATCAGCAATTTTATATAAGCAAAAAAAAATTATTACTATGAAAAGGATCAAAGTAAAAATCCTATAGACCTGAAGAGTACGATGAACCCATATCCCTCCAAAAGCATGCCCACAATAGGCCATCCTATGATCACACAGAAGAAGCCAAGACCAAAAGAGATTGTTCCCTGTAATTAACGAACAAAACCAGGTGAAAAAGATAAGTTAGAATACATGCATGGCCCCGAAAAGAAATAATACAAGCATGGAAAAAGTCGAGCAGAAATGGAGAGAAACATTAATGACCACAAACCTTATAATTTTGACGTTTCATGAAGAATTGCATCGTGGGCTTAAATCCAATGGTTAAAGTCACTCCTGAGAAGAAGAGGATCTGATTAAGTACCACAAACAAATGAGGAGTGTTAAAACAGTTATCAAGTACAACAATAAATAAAAACAAAAAACAAAAATTACAAACACAGCAAAAAGCACGTAACTTGAAAAGAGATTACTTATAATTATTAAAGACACTTACATTTCCCATTGCAAGTAATCCCTCATCGAAGAAGAAAACGATTCCCAGGCATGAGAAAAATATGCCAAATCCTGTCAATCCTAGTCCAATCTCTGTTTCATTTCACAATTGCACAAATTAGAGGTCACACCAATTTACATTTAAAAAAAATATCTCAAGTGGCACCTTCATTATTACTATACCAAATTATTATTCCAGTTTTAATGAATTAATTAGTATTAACAATAACAAGTTGTTCACATAAACAAAATTATGTATACGTATATCAAACAAAGTAATCAAAAGCATCCAAAAATAACAAAAGATTATATACGAATGTATCAAACCAAGTAATTAAAAGCATCCAAACCTCTTGGAATATTGACAAAGTAAAGATAGACAAAATTACTCACTTTTCCGATCATTCATCTCGAAGGAAACCATTTTCGCTGACGATTCACTGCAGACCACAACACCAAAAATTAGCATCGGAAAAAGAAATTAACAGATCAAGTAAATGAATCGGATTGAAGAAAAAGCGAAAGGTAACAGAAATTAGGGCTTCAATTGAGGAATTTAGGATTGTAGAAGAAAAATTATACGTCATCACTACCTTCAATAAACCTGAGGCAAGCAAACACGAGTTGACGACGAAGATCTTATGAGAACCTGAAGAATAGAGATTGCGATCAGTTTACCGAATTAGAATGAGCAGACAGCGAATCTAGAGCTCCAATTGGATTCCAAGAGAAAGACAAGAAAAGAAAATGAAAATCGAGCCCTAATTCTTCATTTTCTTTTCTTTTCCTTGGGTTTCTCGGCCATTAAATGGAGTTAATAGCGTCGAGGCTTACAGAGAGCGAGAGCGAGAGCGAGAGAGAAACTGTTAGACTGATGCAGAGAGACTGAGAAGGTTGGAGCGGAAATGGTTTGTTAAGAGAGAGAGAGAGAGAGAGAGAGAGGGGATGGGCGCGTGATGGGCGCGTATATGTTTGTTTTTCTGCAAGACTTCAAAACAAGGCAACAAATGAAGGGAAGAGGTTAAGAAATGTGAAGTCAGTGCATGGCGTATTTTAGTTGAAGAAGCAGTTGTCCGCTAAAATGCGCAAACAGTAGAATAGGGCTCAATTCTATTCTATTGGTTAGACAACATCACCACTTTTATTTTATTTTTTATGAAATAGGTGGGCAAAAATCCCAAAGACAACATCACCACTTGAACTTTCCTCTGTTTTTCAAACAAAAAGAAAAAAAACGGTGACACGTTGTTTGATACGTCCAGATCCCTGAATGTGTAGCTAGATTTCAATTTGTCCCAAAACTTTCTTTTAGAATAATTTTGTACCTAATTTTCGATTTGCTCCTAAACCCTTTTTTAATTTTTTATGATACGAAAATAAAAAGTTACAAATAAAAGCCTCTAAGACCCAAAGAGCTCTTATGACCAAAAAAAAGAGCCAAAGAACTTGAAATAAGAAGATGAAGCTCATGCTCCCACAACCTAGAAGAGTTGTTCCATAATGGAAATGTCATAAATGGACTAAAGATGTGGACCTTTATACTAACCACACGATTCATCTGAATAGTAACTTCACTTAAATTTATACTAACCACACGATTCTTCTGAATAGTAACTTCACTTAAGTCTAATGAAATGTATGAAGGTCTACATTAGGGGCACTATAGAATTTCCCTATATTCAGTATGCACAATGAATTTGACCAAAAGTAGGCTGCATGTGCAAATTTTGGTACAATCACATTCTTAGAAATTATTAGTAGACGATTTTCAAATAATTTATTGTGCAAATATACAGTATAAACAGCCGGGCTGCTTGAAATTGACTCACAACAGTAAGTGCACAAGATGCTTTCTTGCTAAGCTATTTTTCCCAGCATAAATACACAACGAAGATATTAGAACTAATGGCTATTTTTACAATGTACTTTTATTGTTCATGACAGCCAACAGTGTAGTTCTTAAGTGGTTACTAAAATTGACTCGCATTAATAAACACCCTACGTGATTTCTAAATGGCTTTTTTCGCAGTATACCATTACTGTTCATCATCATCACCAGCGCCTCTAAAAGATGATATCTGCAAGGGAAATGGGAAAATTATTAGGAAAATAATTACAGATAATCAAGTCGATGCTTAAAAGTTAAAATTGTGGATAAGCTGGTGGGGATCAACACCTTTGAGCTAACGGGATAAGGGTGAGGTCTATAAGGCATCCAAGATTTCCCCGTCCAGCCCAGATGGGTCAAGATTCTGTCATAACAAAATTAGCAGCAAAACCAACACTATCAAGAACTCAACACCATAAAAATAGCAAGAAATCAACATCAAGTGGTAAGGAGTCCTAGAAAACTTTTCTTTTCAATTTCTTGCTTTCTTGCTTCACAAGGTTCAAACCAACGGCCACTGCACTTGAGCTAATCCATATAAATGGAATCTACAGTTCTTTGAGATACTTCTAAAGTTTATGCTACCAAACAGGCCCATAAAATGAGGGACCAATAATTATGGAATTGGTGACCCATATAGCTCCGACTCTCTGCAGGTCAATTGTTGAGTTATGTCTGATTACCAAGTGGGTGGAGCTAACATTTTAGAAAAAGTTTTTTCATAACTAATCAATATCAAAGATTCATCATAATATTTGCACAAAATTAAATGAATTTGCAAAGAGACTTATGATGCGTACCAAACCCAAAGCTTCTGCGACTCTTCTTTGGCATTCTTCACTACAAATGCCAACAAGCATGCTCATTAGAAATTGCCTCTGATTCAATTTCAAGTGTTTCGCCAAGCCTCGAGCCACCATCTCCATCTCTGGCTGCAGAATAAATAAAAAACCATCAAGAATCACAACTCAATACTACTAACAACAATAGTATGAAAGCCTCTCAGTTTCTGATGTTGCATATGTAAAATTAACCAAGGACAAATTGGTCGTTCTCTACTCTTCCCTACCCTCTTATCCATTCCCTACTATCCTGTCACTTGTAAATGCCTCCCACCAGTTTTAGCCCCAATGCATGTCAGCCAACGCTCTGGACAATGCGACTGCTAAGGCTTTATATTGATCACAAAAGCTTGTATTTCCAGAAGCCACTTTTGGAGTGGGGAAAACGAGGTGCCAACCGTAATACACAGGTTCCTGACCTGACTAAAAATTAGGGTGCCTCACAGGACCCATATTAAGGGCAAACACCCATGTGCACGGTTCTTTTCATTTACAGCTTGATCACTGCTTGACTTTGCCTCGTTCTGAGGTAGAAGGTTTACTCGAGAAGGTGTCAGCTGAGGTAAATGCCTACTTGACTATTGAATACATGAGACATTCCAAGATTGCATAAATGAAGGATGTCTAAGACTCTTATGCAATAGGGCAGAAGTCTCGCTTTGAGCTAGATGCACGTGCTTCGGTATGCCTTGGAGCATTTCACCAAACAGTGAGATGACCAAGGCTATTTTACTCTGCCTTGCCTCATCACATGCTTGGTTAGAGAGAGAGGCTTTGCGAATGATCAGAGACAGGGCGGATAGAGGAATGAGTCAGAGGGTAAGGATGGGTAGAGAATGACCACTTTGTCCTTTGGTGGTCATGTGCTGGGTACATAATCAAAATTTACGGACCAATAATGTATGCTTTTAGAGTTTAGGATTTAAAAACTATGAGTAAATTCCGAAAATTAAAAAAAGAAATGCAAATATCAAGATATGGTTATTATTCACGAATAAACAAAGCACATACAGAGGACTCCTCGGGAGGAAATATCCGCAAAATAAGGCATAACTTTGACAATTCGATTACTGCTTCTGCATGTTTACCTTGCATTACCAAAGCCTGCAATCAAACAATTAAGAAATACAACCATTTAAAAATTCAAAGAACGTGATAAAGTGTTTTCAGAAAGGTAAAGAAAGGATATTTTCCAGCAGAGCCATAAAAAAATATAATTGAAAATACAAAATGGAGTATAAATCGAACTTATAGGTCCCAAATTCAACCTCACCATCAAAGTAACATATGCCTTAAATTATTCTCTAGAAAACTCCCAGGAATTCAAAACTCATAGAATCCAATAAACCAAAAAATTAAAACTACCAGGACTCCAATTAAACTGACATGTTAAAGTCTAAAATATTTTTAGGTCAACATTTCTGACAAAGTGATGAATTTTTGTCAGAAATGCTTACCTAAAAAATTTAGGCTTCTACACTATAAGTTAAAGTCATATGCTAATTTAGTTCCAAAGCCAGCAGACCATAACTAAGCAACAAAGATATGAGGCAGCAGGCCAACAAAACTAGTGTACTGGAGAATTTGAAACATACAATATAGCCTGAAAAAAAAACTATCCCTAAATTCTGAAGCCAACAACCTAAAGAGCAAAGAGATCTAGAGTTCCCTAAAGCAATTATTTTTCAAGTAATCTTCTTTATTCTCTCACAATTATTCACAAAATATTGTGCAAGAGTTTTCTATTTACTTTTTGTTTTTTGGAGAATATGATGTCAAAATAACTGCCTGTGCCACAAGAGGCACTTAAATTGTTGTCAGTCTGTGCAAGCATGTGACATGGCCATAGTCAAAAGAACAAGAGTGAAAAAAAATTACCCATGCCTGCAAAAAGCGTGAACGTGTACGTGCAGCAACGGTTGCAGACACAATTCTTGCAGCACGAATGTTGTCAAGCCCAATATTCTCAGCAAGCCCAGCAACGAATTGACAAACATCTTCGCCGTCAATCTGAACATAAGTAGAGTGACTTGGGGCCCTGCCATACTATGAATGTTGAAACACCAGGAGAAAGCAAAGCACCCAAATAAAAAGTGGTCGTATAAACTATTAGAATGTTAATGTATTGCATCCAAGAATCACACCTGCTGCAAGTATTTAAGACAAAGTCAACAGACACACGGTAGAATGAATCTCGTGTGTTTGTTGTATCAAAGGTGACCCGTACTCTAGATGTCCTGCATATTTGACGTAACTGCTCACCCACTCAGACAAAGAAGTATACAATGTATTATGAATGATCAGTTAATGCAGCACAAAATTGTAATTAAAACTTACAAATAAAGAAATTGTGGTAATGAATCAATGATATAACAAATATTCCAAATAAAAAGTTTAACATCTTACTGAAATTCACAAACATTACATCAACCAAACATGCTCATCAAAATCTCTTTCAGACACATAACGTTTTAAGAGATAACTATCTGGACTCATTTAGTATTTGGTTTAATTTCACATGATGCACTACACATTGATTCTTTCAACATCAACCACACTCACAACTGCTTCATAAGCTTAATCATTTAAAGGAAGAAGCACCTTTTGATGAAACTTTCAAAAACCCATAAAACACCCTTGGTTAACCAAAATGTTAGACAAAAGAAATTTAAGATGGGAAGTTTAAAATCATAAATAAGCAAGTAAAAAAACTATAAAAATTAGTCTTTTTAGAATATTAAAATAATAAATATAAGGAAGAAAAAAATCCAATTGGCACATATTTACTTATGGGGAAAATGTTTGAAGACTGTTTCTGAGGTTTAAATAAGCAAGGTGTATGATAAACCTGATGCCAACATGACGTCTTAATTCCCATATAACAACAAGGTTTTCACATACAGACATTAATACAGTAAAATCTTAAAAACCATAATCTTCATGAATAGCAATATTGTAACAATCTGCATAATCCTTAGCTAATATAAACATCTAGTCTCTCATGGTGCAAGGGCTACTACCCTCCTCTTATTAACTACACAATAAATGTATCTAATAACGTATCTGTATGTATAAAAACATGCTTTCAAACAATTAAAGTCACTAACACTTAGATTGATATTATGTTACACTTTTTCTAAGACTGTCATATAAACACAAATCATCAAGAAAAGTACCCTAACCTGAATTTTTGCTACATATACATCTCATGTATGTGCGTACAAAGTGTGTGAACCTACAAAAAATGTATGTTTAATTATCTACCAATGTATTTATCGACAATCA